TTTGGAGCTGTGAGGCAGTCATCTCTACACATGGGTTTTAAGCAGTGAGACTACTCACTGCTTAAATGTCCTGTTATGTGACATTTTATTTTATCAAATGCTAAACAGCTTTTGTGGGACTTCAAGTATTTTGTCTTCTGCTGACTTATGTCAGCTTCCTACCCCTGCTTTTTCCAGTACTTGCGTTATTCACAAGTGATTTCTTACTATTTTTGATAATGAGAAATATGTGTTATTCTTATCTTGTTTGTTCTTCAAAATAGCTGGACAGTCCCTACTAAACCTTTATGGAAAAAAATCCCGAAACAATAATTGAGATCATATTCACATACTGGTTCTTCTAAAAGTCTTATGTTCCAGAAGTATCTTTAATTATGGGTTTTTAAAAGAAATTTTTTTGATTATTTGAAAATGTAAAATGGCTGAATAGATTTTATGTTGACTACTTTGAGAAACTTCCTTTTTTTCCCACCTAATTTTTATCGCTCTTCTTGTCTACTGTCTAGTATTACTAAGGATGATTCAGGTAAAATGACTGTAATGTCTCTGCAGGATTTTATGTGACTCAGTGAAGCATCTTTCCATATCAAATCTTTGAGTCTGTTACTCTCTAAAAAAAAAAATTTGCCCCTTGAAACTGGAAGAAATAGGTGATGTGAACATGGATGAGCTGATCAACACAAGCAAGTTGTTCTGTTTTGTACAGAGAAAAAATAAATTGGTAAGGACATACTAAATTTGATAAAAATACAATACTTACCTTCACTAATCATGTGAATTAGCCAGGAGTGATAAGAGACAGAAATTTGAAACCTTTGTTATAGCATCTGGCAGCAGTTTAGAAAGCAAGTAGGGCCTTAGGAGGTAGAATTAGATGGAGAGACCATGCTCATCAGTAATTAAAGCTCTATTCAGAGAAAAACCAAGACAAAACCACTTGTTATTGCTAATTACTAATTACATGAGTGTCACATTATACAGAAATACAATCTGTAAAGGTGAGTGCAAATATCTGTAAAGCTATAGTTTTTTTGAGATTCCATGGATGGTTCTATAGGTTTTTAAAACATTCTCTTTGCCATATGTTTACAGTGAATCTCAGGTATTATATCCTTAAAGAGTGCTAGACTATAAGTGGCTGTTAGAAGTATTTCACAAAAAAATATCCAGCACCTCAGTGTATCTTAATACATGGCTTGTGATCCTTCAGTGTAGGACAGCCTATGCTTTTCCCTAATGCATATTCATAACACATTGATACAATAGAGTATCTGAATACATTTCATAATATTCAGATACTTGCTATTTTTCTAGATTCTCAGTACTTACCTTTTATAAAAGGAATAACCTTTAAATTCCTGCTCTTTTAATTCAGCTGGAAAAATCTCCATCTAACAGGAACAACAAGAGTCTAAACTCTTAGATCACTTAGATATTATTTTTGATGGCCCGTTTATATGAGTGTGGCAATTAAAAATGAAGGTGTGTAAATCATTCATAGGAATAACAAAGAACAACTGTTTTCTGTCCCAGCAAATAATGGAAGACTCTGTAGCCATACAGAGACACAGAAAGAATTGTGGGAAAGTCTGGGAATACTCAGCACTCAACTGAGTTAGTCTGTATCCTTGGGCAATTTAAGCTAGATGTGTACACAAAAGGAAGTCCAGGGCATGTTGGCTGGATCAGTGCTTTACTTTGGCTCTGGCAAGGCAGACTCTGGAGGTTCTACCAACAGACCTTTTTTTTCCCCTCCCCTCGCCTTGTTTTCTTCATCCCAACAACAACTAGTGGAGATTTCAGTACTGAAGAAGGCAGCTTCTTCATGTAGGATGTAGCAGTAGGAATTTGGATGGAAGGCATTTGAGCAGCAGGCCCAGTGTCTGGGTATATGGATGCTTTCCTGAGTGTGTTAGGTCAGAGAATTTTAGTTCATGATAAAGGGTGTGGGTTTTTTGTTTTCCAAAATAACTCTTCAAACTGAATGCTCATCAATAATGTGTTTTATGCAATGGCACTACTGGAATGAAGAGATAAATGTAATTAATGCAGCTAAATTCAAAGGCTGAAGGAGTTGTTCCACGAGCAGGTTTGCTGGAAGGCTGTAGCCAGTTCTGGAATGCCCTTTTGGAAACACCCACCCCGGATTCCCAGCTGTGCTTCATGTTCCCTTGTCGTTGCTTTGCAGGGATAGTATCACCAAGCAGTTGACTACAGTTTCTTGAAGGTTGGGGCTGATTCCGCCCCTTGATTGCTGTATGCTGCTCGTTTATTTGGCAAACAATTTTAAAAACAAATGAAACAAAACTCTAAGTACTAATACTTACAGTAGTACTTCATACTATGTATGAACAAACATACATACACTTGGGTTCATTCATTTATTAAATATGTTCACTACTATTAAGCAGAAGTCCCACATGCAGCATGTCGTCTGTATAGCTGGAGGCACAGTTTAGTCTCATGGTCCAGCTTGGGCCTGTGTCAAACAGACAGAAGTGAGCTGATCCATATAAAATTAAAAGTGTTTGCCACTTTTTTCTCAAAGTCTCCTAGTTTTCCTCCAGATATTTACTGCTACAAGGTTGGTCTTGGCAGAATTCCCAGACTATTAGACTGCCCTTTGAATTTCCTTCTTTGGAAGACAAGGTATGGCAATACTTTGAGACAAAAATCAGTGCAGTTTTAGGGACTTCAAGTGAGTCTTTCCACACTCTATCTCCTTTTGCCAAGTGATCGATGTGGAAGACTAGGGCGTTTCCTTTATAAAACCATATACCACAAGGAGGATGCTCAATATAAAGTGATGTTGGAACTCCTCATTCCTCACCAGTTTTCATAAGCTATAGCATGTGAGGACAGATAAGATGTTGTTGCACTCGAGTGATGATAAATAAAGGAAGAGGAAGCATGTTTACAAGTAGGATGCTTTAAAGTGGGAAAGGCTGCAACACAAATAGCCTGTGAGATCCTGTGTGGATACTTGAAATAGGCTCACTTTAAGCTGATTGAATACAGAACCAACACAAGCTTATAACATGGCTAGAGATAGACCTGACCCAGCTGAGGCAGGGAATTTTGAAGTAAGGACTCAAGTGAGACAGTGCCTTGGAACTGTAAGAGTTTTGGCACAAATCATGCTAGACTTAAATCCAAGTTGCTGACTGAGAAGTAACATACAGTATTAATATATGTCAACCTTGAAAAATATGTCTTTAGAGAGCAAAACTTTGTGCAACATACAAGTGCAATTTTTTAAACTTATTTATTTACTGTAGCATGTATTGTGCAACTGTAGAAGGACTTAGAAACTGATTTCTGAGCTGAAATGATATTGAGTCTGAAGCAAAATCATTGCAAATGTAAGCCTGCAAAACTAAGCACTGAAAATGGCCCATTAAGCAAGAGGTATGTATAAAGATTTGGACAAACTCACTTCCCTGTTCACCGTGAGATGTTTTTTCCACTGCTGTGTTCACTTCCAGCAGGTTTTTAATGTTTCTGAAATCACACAGCCCAAATCACCTTGTGTCTGTCCCAGAGCACTACTTCTCTGGGTGAATGAGAATGCTGACTTCAAGAATGCAGGAACAGATATATTGTGAGACTCCACTGAGATCAGTCTTTTGCTGGAAATCATTGTCTTTAAACAAAACTACCACTTGCTTCTGAAATAATAATATCATACTTTAACAAACTGCTCTATATAGCCCAAATCTTCCGTTCTTGAAATCTATAGGAACTTGGCCATGGTTTTAAACTAACATGACAATATACATTTGACTAAGAGATGAACATTAAAAAACCCCTCAAAATTAACTCATATTTAACATTCTTAAATTTGATATATGATGGCATCTATGTAATCAGATAGCTCAGACTTTAAAAAGCTCAAAACAAACAAAAAATCTAAATAAAGGCTTGCTAAAATCCAAACTTATTTCGTAATCGTGCATTGGAATAGCAGTTGTTTTTGCTGGTCTGATCTGCCTTTCTGTTGGCTGGATTCCCTTCCTGTGACAGATGTGCTATTTATGGAAGGGGATTCTGAATATTTTAAAGCACTGACTGTTAGGAACATCTCATTCCCAGCCTTTAAAATGAAAGACAACAAAATGCCAAATAACTTCCCAAAGAAAACCTCCAAATTAAACAGATACCTATTTAATCATTAAAAAAGAAAGAAGGGGGGAAAAAAAGCAAAATCAGATTGTCTATTTTTTGAAAATAAGTGAATACATACGTACATCAGCCTAGTTTTTGCTGTGCAACATTTTCAGATTTAATACAATACTTGGTATTAGTCTTCACTTTTAAAAAGAGGTACTCTTAGGCGGAAAAAAAATCATCAGATACACAGGTTCCTAGGGAAAGAATATGCGTTTGAAAATTTGGCTGCTTTTTTCCTCAGCCGTATTGGCAGGTCAAATGAAAGCTAGCGCTTTTCTAGACAAATCTGGCCTCACAAGGAGCTGCTTATTTCTGCAGTTGGTCAGAAACCATCTAGATTTACTTATACAGATGGTAAACAATGGTTACCTAAAGAAATCTTTCAGTGGAATATTTTTAGAGCTAACATGTTTATCTTCACAGTTCTGTTCTTGTGCTGGGTATCATCTTGCGGTATTTGCAGGTAGAGATAAAGAGCTGAGAGAAGTCACCGACATAGTGGGGGGAGATTTTGCTCTCTAATTAGATATATCTTATGGTTTGTTTTACCTTACCTGATGGTTTAGTCTTCTGGGAAGGTAACTCAGGTTACAGTAAACTACATTATGGTTCTCTCGTTCTCCCTTTGGAGACAGAGTGACAATGAAAACAGCATCCGTTTTGCTTATTAGGCTTTTTTATTTAAAAATCAGATTGGCAGTTTTTGATGCTTTTTTCTTTGCATATTTTTCATTATGTATGCAAAATATTTTATTGTATTTTTAAGTTTTCCAGATGATAACCCTTTCTTGACATTTACAAAAATCTAATTCCCACAATTACTCTTGCAGTCTCTGCAGAGGGTGATACCAATTTAACGTATGCGGCTGAACAACGTGCATGCTATTAATCTCAGAAGGTAATAGAAAGACATTACGTAGGTGATATGATAATTTTTTTATTAACATCATTATTATTATTTTTGCAGCTATGGTTTTATATTTTGTTTTTTTTTCCTTAAAGACGACAGCACTTTAGTATCTGCATTGACCTCCATGATGTCAGAATGTCATTGTGCAACCGTAGCTAAGAAAAGCTGTCGAGAAAAAAAAAAAAAAACAAAGGAGCTTTGCGTCTTCCAATAACATGAGATGTGCATATACAGTACGTAGCATTTTGGAATTTATACTGTGGTAGTGAGTTGTTGCTTTCAGTTTGATTAGACAATCATTGTTTCGTTTTCCTTGCTTTGACAGTGAGTATGCTTGCACGCTGCTTAAGTCTTCTTAGTGCTATCTAGGTCAGTGTACTTAGGATAGCTTTTATGTTCTGTAAGTCTGACAGATACCATGCTTGACAGAGATCAGCAGCAAATTTTGTTTTATTTGTTATATCTGGGATAGAAAAATATCTTAAAACTAATCAGAATTGTATACCACATAGCAACTACTGTTTCTGCATTGCAGATATATTTAGCTCTAACACTGCTTGTGGTTAACAGGGTGTAGCGTAGACACAGACAGCTGATCATGCAGTCAGACCCGGTGCTCGTGTGGTTTGTCAATACTGCTCAGGATTTTGATGGACTGTTAAACAGAGAAAACAGAAAGGAGAGAAAAAGAAATTTTTATTTGTCTGAACATTAGACCTTTAGCTATATTATTTTTGCTATCATTGGCTTTTAATTTTATTTTTTAATATTGAAACTTAAAAATTAAGAAAGCACAGCAAATGCATCCAGGATTTAATATGTGCGACGTGAAATCTTTCTGCATCGAGAGGATGTTGCTGTAGTGGATGCAGCGTTTCTCCAATAAGCAAGAAGACTGTTTTGTTTTCCTCGGCAGGCGACTCAGCCATTGCACAAGGAGATTTTGATAAGAGTTTGAAATGCCTACTGCTGTATCGTTGTAGAATTTGGAGTTTGCTAACAGTGTTAGTGACTGGAGCTCATCTTGCATCACCAGTTGACAATTTTCTTTGTTCCCTCCCACCCAGTTGAACCAAGACTCTGTAGCTGATACGCAATGTCACTTACAACATTAATCAGATACTGCATTTAAGGTGAGCTGTCCCCTGCCTCCTCCCTTACCAGAGCTGTGCTGCAGTATGTATCTTACTCCTGCAAGCCTAAAATGGCAGGCAGGATTAACGTTGCTTGTGCTGTGTGCATGCTGTGTATTGAATTCATTATACTGTGCCTAGTATCTCAAATGTGAGTATGTAAATGGTCTGTGTGCCATGTCATGCAGTAGTGAAGACTGGTTTGTGCTTCATTACAGGCTTAGATATTTGAGCATCACCTTAAGAATTCTTTTTTCATTTGCAATGTGGTGAGCTGTTAGCTTGTCATCACATTCAAACGACATTATTAGCCCTCGGAAAGGAGAAAAAAAGCAAACTGTGCTTCCAGATGGTGTCACCCTTTTTCTTCTTGCATTTACTGTAGTTTAAATAATGTATATTGTATTGTTAATTAATGTGAATATCGAATTAAAGCACTTGAAACTTACATATTTATTATGCAGGTAGGAGGCACGTCAAATCTATTTTTAACTCTTACGCAGTCCACGTTGTGCAATGGGCTTTGGTTGTCGAGTTTATATTTTCAGCTGTGATATCAATAGGTTGATTTTCAGTAAATGTGACAAGTGGCCTTTGCAGTGGTCAGCTTCAAGCTTTGAACCCTCTGAGGAAGAGAGAGAAAAAAAAAAAAGCCAACCTTGTTTTGCAGTTTCAGAAAACCTTGGATGAGGACTTTTTTTCCCCACTCCTGCTTTCCCTATTGATAAACTCAGTTCTCCTGCTCACGGTCTATTCAAGCTGCTTCCCATCTGAATTTTGTCAACTGCTTCTAAAAAATTATCAAGAAGACCAAGAACAGAACCTACCTCCATCGCTTTACATAAAAATGGCTGGGTGCATTGCCATGTTAACACTGCTCTAAGTGGTGCATGCAGGTAGGTTGAGATTTGCATGTTTTACTGTTTTCTTGGTCAGTGTTGCAAGAACATGAAATGGGCTTTGGAATGCAGCTTTCAGTTTTAAAATGTACTAAACTGTTAATGAAAACAACCTATATTAAATTGTTGGCTTCCCATATTGGCATGACAATTATTCTTGTCTGTTTTTTTAAATCTGTTGTGAAAGTGGAGCAATCATGTCTGTTAAAATAATCATATGTACTAAGGGCGTGGCAACGCTTATGCAACAAAAGAATTTTTGAAAACCCTATTGATTCCATTACATTTTAAAGCTGACTATAAGCATTACTAAATTTGCAGCTAAAAGGCAGAAATAAAAATTGAGGAAGATTAGAAAAAAGAAAAATATTTAAATTCTGTCGTAAGCGTTTTCGTGTTTTGTGCGAAATATTAAATAAAGAATAATATGCTTTAATGCTTATATTTTCAGTATTGGCTACAAACATAAAACTGCAGTCTTTCTTGTTATTTAAAGGTAGGAGAACTTTAAAGAGAGACATTGATATTGATGGCCCTGTCAGCTTAAACTGAGTATCAGTTCACTGAAATGTGTTTTACTTCACACAAAAAAAAATTATGAAAAAAAACTTAATCCTGAATTTGAGCATTAAGAATAACAATAATTATAAATACTGTATTACTTACACCAACTTTTATAATATATTTCTTTCAGATTAATACTGGGCCAGAACCAGTTTCCTTGGCAACCAAATCCTTTAAAAAGGTTCAATGGTAGACATGTAGAAAAATGTTATTCTCTTTAATAGCAATATCACAATGCAAATGGATATGTTGCAGTTGTTTCCTCTTACTTCTAACTGAGATTGTGATCTCACTTTATGTTTCCATGCGGCTATCAGTTCTTAAATGATGCCATGTTTATAAAGCTGTACACACAAAAACCTGTTTTATTTCTGGTTTGCATTGGTTCTTCCCAGAAACGTACCCTGGTTTCTTTTTTAATTTAGCCCAGTCTTGCATGTAGGTCAAGGTTTGTACTGTGTGTATATAAAGTAATAGTTTTAGTATATCATCACTAAAACATTTAGCAGCTGACAAATGTAGAGAATCAGAAGGTTTAAACCTTCTTTCAAACTCTGCTGAATTCAGCCACAGTAATGCTAATAAACCTTTCTCTAAATAGTGGACCCATTCTGAAGTTCAAGTAAAGAACTGTGTTTAAGCATACTACAAAAGAACTCCTGTCAGACCTTAAACAAGCTTTTAGTGAATAAGCTCACTTGTGGTCTGGAGTAATTTGCAGACCCTACAGATTTTGCAAAATTAAATATTATAATTCTTTATTTCAATTTTTAGCTAATAATTTTTACAGTGCTAGTAAAGTTAAACATTATGCATACCACAGGTAACTGCCTATAGAGATCAGGTGTTACTGAAAGTCTCCACTGAGCTTATAACATAGTGTATATCCTCATCGATGCCCTTTGTACGTGACTTGAGAAATTCTCACTACTGCAATGAGACTTTTGCAGCAGGGAAGCCATTTTCCTTTCATGTCCTTGACTTTAAAATGACTGAGTATATTTTGTGTGGAAGAAGACTCAGCACTGAAAGTGATTGCAGAGGAAGTATTTAGAAGCACAGCCAATTATCAATAATAGCTGTAACAGTATGAGTAATATTAAACTACTTCTCATTTTTTTTCCTAAATATACCAGTTCAGTGCATTCCAAATGAGCAGAGTGTAACTGTTCAGGAATATGACTTGCCATGTGTCGTAATAGGTAAATACTTAATGATGACAAAAAAAATAATTTGATTCATAATTATAAGAAGAATTTAATGCATTCCAATATTCCTCTGTTCCACCTAAAGAAGCAGACCTGAAAACATAACAGAAAGCATCTCTCAAGTGACGTATTAAAGCCTGCATTTTTTGTAATTCGATTTATCTCCAGTAGCTTGCTTCTGCTGATTATTTTCCTGTCTAAAATGTTAATATGGATGGCACCATTAAATGTAGCAAGAAAGTACATTTCTTTGTTTATTTCTTGTGTGGTTATTTTTAAAGGAAATGCTGAGCAAATGCTATGTCGAATCTATGTATTGCTTCTGATACTTATCTTTAGAAAAGATGGGGCACTTAGCAATAAACTGTTTTTATTATATCTTTGTGTTTAAACATACCCACTCAAGGCATTTTTAAAAAGCAGCTCCATTACATGAGCACATTTCCCTATGGTTGTTTTAAACCCATTTGCAGATTTGCTCTTTGTTAAGGGGTGCAAGTCCTCTTGTAATGAATATGACTGAACTCAAGTGCTTTCATGAGTCTGGAAAAACTCATTGGCAACCTGCGAACGGTAATTTCTTCTAGCACAAGAAACGGCCTTCTTTATTTAGGAGGAGTCCAGTAATTAGCAAGCTCGTTCCAGTTTGACTGTTATACGTGGGTTGCTGCATGTGTTTCAGTGGCACTTACATCCAGCTAATGCAGAGTGTCAGAATGTTGTAGCCAGAGGTGCCATAAAAATATTCTGTAAACTTCATTTTATTATTTTACTGAGGAGGCTTATCAGGGCATGGAGGAGCAGGTGCAGTTTTTCCCACCTCCAGCACAGCCTGCAAATGTTATTGTCAGGGGAGCCTGCTAGGGTTTTTGGGTTTATTTTGTTGTGGGCTGGGGGGAGAGTGTCAGTTTTATCATAGAAGTCTAATTGTTGATACTGCACCATCCTTTTTATAATAGTAATTTGTTCTTTTCTCCATGCAAATTCCATTTCTGCCTAACAAAAAATCTAAACAAAGCACGAGTAAAAATGAAATCAAACCAAAAAATTATTCACTTGGACACTGTCCTACTTGCTTTCCAATGGTCTTTATAATTAAGGTTACTACTGCCTCTAAACTTCATTTTGATTTGAAATTGTAGGTCTCTCAGTGGGAAACTAGCTGTGTTCAGACAATATTTGTCAGACTATTAAACAGATTCTGGTAGTAATGAATAGGTACCAATTAACCCTTTTGAGGTATCTAGTGTCTATTGTGCTTTATGACTTAAATTGCTTTACTAAGTATTAAAAGGGGTTTGTTGTGGATAACATTGTATTTGAATGTCAGTATTACCAAAGTTGGGAATCCTTTGGTAAGATCTTTTTACTGTGGGATTCCTCCAAACATGATGTTTAAGCTTCCAATGTATCCTATTTTTGTCATTTATGAATATGCCTTTAATGGAATTTGAGGTAATAATAATGACTTACTGTAATTTTCTTTCATTCTAACCTTTGTTAAGGGCAGATGTTAGCTACAGATTTCTTATTCAAATTAACATAACCTAAAAATGTACAAGGCTAAACCAACAACAACAAAAATGGCTGGCTCACCTTCTTACCTTTTCAAGCCAAAGTAATAGATCCTATATTCCTATATTTCCTGTACAATGTTATTGCTAAGAGCATACAGTGTGTTTGCAAATGGAGGATGGAGCTATGTATTTTTAATTGCTGCTCCATACTTGCTGTTGTATGAATGTCTATCAGCTGAGTCATAAGGCCTTATCTGCATGATTTTGCAATTTCTCTATGGAACAGTTTCATTTTTTTCGGTATCTTTGAAACAAAACCTGGTTCCACATAATTTTTATACTGTTATAGGAAAACCTTTTTAGGATGTTTGATACATAACAATAAAATCAGGGTGTTTGACAGTGATGAATAATCATTTAAGCAGAGAAATACAGGAAGTGTATTCCAGAGAACAAGAGCTGCCTAGAAATGTCATTATCACAGATACTGTGGTGATATCTGTGACAAGAGAGATCAAAAGAGAAGTGGTGGAAGAGAAAGAGGAGAAAGAAAACGTCTTTCAAAATAATTACTTTAAACTTGAAAACATCCTTACATTTCTGTCTAGAATGTATTATTATGTCCAGTCTGCACTACACAGGTTAAACCATAATAAAACAATGCAGCAGAAGTTTGGTTAATGTTACTGGTTTATTGCTGGTGTGTTCTAAAATTCCCAGATGTAGATTTGGAGGTCTACAGCACCCCAGGGAAAATTTTGATGAATTACGCAATGTATGTGGAAATTAGTACTCATCTAATAATTCAGTCATTAAATCTGGATTTTTCCCTTTGCAGGCTGATACACTGTAGCCACACAGTTCACAAAATTACTGAGATGGTTTTGCTGAAAATACCTGTCAATACCACTCTTAAAAGACTCTAACAAAAGACCAACAGAAGAACAGATTTTAGGTGGGTAAGTTTATGGGGTACTCTCACATAGAAATAGAGCTAAATTATTTAACACCATCACCACTGCATTACTTGGGTATATTTTCTGTTAATTTCTAAATTATTACAATAATTTAAGGTTTGTTCTCACTATGGTACCACATTGCTCTATTCTCATGTCAATATTGTTGGATTTTTCCAGTTCCTAGTGGATTTCTATTGCCATAGAGGTTGGACAAACAAAATCAGACAGAATAGTTTTTGAAACAGCTTGTTACAGCCTCCAGTGATCTGTATAAACCAAACATACTGGTAGGCACACAAACCTCCTGAGCGTGCCAGAATGTTAGCTCTAGATCCCAGTCACGAGTGTTCATTGCAAACCTGTGCCACACAGGAAAGGCAGAGGAACTCTCAGTGCCAGTGCCTGTTTCTGACACTGTTGTGTTGGTTAAGCTGGGTATAATTCATAGAATCTCTGTCTTTATACATGACTTTAATCAGGGACAGTAAAAAACCTCTTGATTCGTGAGCTGGAAAAAGCAGTTTGTAGATTCAAGTATAGTATTGTGATAAATAATCACAAAGGATGTTTCAAAGTAACAGTTGACATTTTGCATGGCTTTTTCAAATATTGACAGTTTCCTTTTTACTTATTGTGAATGTCTGATAATAATCTGGGTTAGTATAAGTATGCCTGGTATCTTGCTTTAGATTTAAGATACACTTGTATTGAATGAAAGAATCTGTGAAATTCTGATTAATTCATTAATT